GCCAGCTAGGAAAGTCGACAAATGGTGGATCACATCATTCCAGGATGCTGCCGCCATCATAAATACATGCCTGTTGCCAGGCAATCAGATTTTGGCCGCACGACCGGGGATTTTTACAATGGTTATAAGTGCAAGGACCTTCACACTCCCCCCCCCCCCAGTTCTGTTTTAACTTCAAACAGTTGCTAAAACAAGTGGTTGTAAGGCAAGGCCACTTGTACAGGCGAGGAGACAGACAGACAGACAGACAAACAGAGTGATAGATAGATAAAGTGATGGATGGATGGATAGATGGATGGATGGATAGATAGATAGATAGATAGATAGATAGATAGATAGATAGATAGATAGACAGATAGACTGAAAGATACATAGAGTGATAGAGTGATAGATAGGTAGATAGTGATAGGTAGAGTGATAGAGTGGTAGATAGAGTGATTAGGTAGGTAGATTGATAGAGTGATAAGAGTGATAGGTGGAGTGATAGGTAGATAGAGCGATAGAGTGATAGGTAGAGGGAGGGATGGATGGATGGATGGACGGACAGGTGGAGTTCAAATAGGATTGCTTCTATCTTTGGATTTTGCATTAACGTTGTAGCACATTGGAAAGATTATGCGCTACTGTGAGTCTTTGGCTGAAGTGGCACGTAAGTGTACATCCTTCTTGTGAGATGGACGCTGTGTAAATTTGATTAATAAATAAAATACACTTTAGATAAAAGCTGTCCTGCAAAGGCAAGGGGGAAGACGGCCTGAACGTTGAACATTTTGTTTGAAATGGTACATAGGGTTTCCTGCTTTGAGCAGGGGGCTGGACTAGAAGACCTCCAAGGTCCCTTCCCACTCTTGTTATTCCATTGTTAACTTGGGAGACTCACCCATCCAGAACCACGAATCGTAGCTTGTTCATCTCGTACACTCACCCACCCACCCCCAAGAAGGAAGGAAAGGGAAGGAAGGAAGGAAGGAAGAAGAGTTTTGCAGCTGAAGTTGTTGAAAAACAAAAGGGGAGGAAAGCACAATCTTTTTTTTTTTTTTAATTTAATTTCCCTTTATAAAACAACGTCTTGTATTTCTTAACGCTGATGTTCACTTTGTGGAGGGGAAAAAAAAAAGATTGGCCATGCAGCCTTGTTATGACTTGTTCGGTTAAACAATGGGGTGGAATTGGAACGGCTGTCTGTGCAAGGCTCTTATTTCAGGAAAGGGGGGGGGGAGTTATTAAATATTTTTCTCTTCCCAGAGCCTGCTAAAAAAATAATAATGGTGTGCTGGGGAGTGGGGGTGTGTGTGGAATGTGTGGATGGGATATATATATATATTTCCATAGCCCAAAGTGAAGCTGGCAAGCTTTTTCCAACCTCATTTTTGGCGTTTTAAGCGTCTTTTCCTCTACTTCACGATCGGAGAATGCGGTGTGTAATTGAGTACCGGTAGTCCTCGCCTTACGACGAGGGAGCCCAAAACTTCTGTTGCTAAGTGAGATAGGCTTTAAGGGAGTCTGGCCCGCATTTTACGACCTTCCTTGGCACAGGTTGTTGAGTGAATCAGTGCAGTTGTTAAGTTAGTCACTGGGTTGTTGAGTGAATCAGACTTGGCTTGACTGATGAGGCTACCTCGCTGGCTCATGAAACGTCTGCAAGGAAACAACCAGGCTCTGAGAGCACCAAGGACCCCACGGTCCTCCCCTTCCTCTTCCTGAGCCCCTTCCCCCTCCTTCCACAAATTCTACCCCCTTCTAACACTGATAAAGTTACGTAGTTGGGTCATGAAACATATGCAAGAAAACCATCAAGCTCAGAGAGCACCAAGGACCCCACAGTCCTCTTCCTCCTCCTCTTCTCTTCCATCCCACAAACCCCTTTCTCTTCTAGCACTGATGTTGTTCCCTAGCTGGGTCATGAAATGTCTGCAAGGAAACACCCCAGCTCAGAGCACCAAGGACCCCAAAGTCCTCCTCCCTTTTCCTTTCTTTCCTTCCTTCCTTCCTTCCTTCCTTCCTTCCTTCCTTCCTTCCTTCCTTCCTTTCTCCCTCCTTTTGCTTCCTTCTAGCACTGATGATGTTCCCTAGCTGGGTCATGAAAGGTCTGCGAAGAAACAATCCAGCTCAGAGCACCAAGGAACCCACAGTCTTCCTCCTCCTCCTCTCCTCTTCCATCCCAAAAACCCCTTTCTCTTCCAGCACTGATGCTGTTACCTAGTTGGGTCATGAAATATCTGCAAAGAAGCAACCAAGCTCAGAGAGCACCAAGGACCCCACAATTCCTCCTTCTCCTCTTCTCTTCCATCTCACAAACTCCTTGTAACCCTGCTGATGTTAACCTACTTGGGTCATGAAACATCTGCAAGGAAACCACCAAGCTCAGAGAACACCAAGGACCCACACACACACATACACACGCAATCTCCTCTTAATGTGTGCAATGCGCTTGTAGCTTAGCAGAGCTAGGGAAAACGTCCAGTTTTTCCCAGGACAGGACAGTTGATATCTTCTGATCTCCAATCCATTCTGGAGTGCAGATGTTTCTCCACTCGGGCAGAAGACTTGACCTCGATATGTACTTTACATTTTTTTTGTTGGATAATGCAAAGAGACGTCCTTGTCCTAAAAGACCAGAGGATGGAAGTGCGTTGCACAAAAGAAAAATGTTGGATACAAGCAACCGGTCCACATATTCCAATCATCACAAAAAAAGAGAACTGCCAAGAGAACCACAACAAGACGGAGTTTCAGAACCGGTTCCAAAGAAAGAAAGAAAGAAAGCCACATGGTGCATTAAGCCCTTTCAATATTTCCCATCCTAGTTGACAAGAGGCAGATCTCCACACTGAGCTCGCACATACACACACACACACACACACACACACACACACACACGGAGCTGTTGGCTAACATGATCGTCCAGCTACAGATTGGCGGCCTTAAAAAACTGGAAGAGACTTTAGCATTTTGGGTCGTGTTGTTGTTTTTCCCCGTTAAGAAAGCTTTTAGTGCTTCGTTTGAGGCCAGGAACAAATTTCAATTTATTTATTTTTTCCCCTCCCAAATTGGCCAGAATGTTGCAACCGGAATGCGAAAAATAAACAGCAATTGTATTTTGTGTAGTTGTCGGTTTTTTTTTTTTTTATCCCTTTCCCGTCGCTGATGAGATGAATCTAGCTCGGAGCTATTAAATGTGTCCAGATGCCTCCTGCCATTATCAAGGCTGCAAATAACTCTCATTTGTTCTAAGTGAAGTACAGTGAGATGCAGGTTCAGAAAGCTTCCCTCTGGTTGCCCGTGGGGAATGAAAATCTCCTCAGTGTGATTCATTTTGGTGTTTTTGTTTTTTTGTTTTAAATAAAAATGTGGACTTTGAAAACATTTCTTTTCAAACCACAACTAACAGAGAGGTAGATTAAGCAGAAGTATGTACTTTGCACTTGGGAAGAGTGGAATACTGTAGGGAATTACTTTGAAAGCCAAAATTTTTGTTGCGAAGTGAGACAGTCGTTAACTCGAGTTTGGAGTGGGAATTGGAGGAGGAGGAGGAGGAGGTGCTTTCTGAGCTTGGTTGTTTTCTTGCAGACGTTTCATGACCCAACTAGGTAACACCATCAGTGCTACAAGAGAGTGGAAAAGAAGGGGAAGGATTGTGGGATCCTTGGTCCTCTCTGAACGTGGTTGTTTTCTTGCAGACGTTTCATGACCCAACTTGGCAACATCATCAGTGCTAGAAAGGAGTGGGTTTGTGGATGGAGGAGAAGAGAAAGGAAGAGGAGAAAGGGGAGGAGGAGGAGAAGGAGATAGAGAGGAGGAAAAGGGGAGGGAGAAAAAGGATAGGAGGAAAAGGGAAGGAGGAGGAGGAGGAGGAAGAGGACTGTGGGATCCTTGTTGCTCTCTGAGCTTGGTGGTTTTATTGCAGACGTTTCATGACCCAACTAGGTAACATCAGCAGTGTTACAAGGGAGTGG